CTGCAGATTTCTAAGAACAACAAAGAACTCAAAAAATCAAAAGATATGAATGTGATTTAAAGATTTTTGAAGTGATTTGAATAGAAAGGGGAGTTGGATTCCTATTCATTGGGTTCCAGATCGTCTGAATAGAAAAGGGAGTTAGATTCCCATCCGACAGTACACAACAAGAGTAAAAAGGGAAAACAGTCGGTGTAGTGGGGTGGCGAGCTGCCTCCGGCGGCTTTGCTGCCTCCATTTTTGGAGTCCGACTCGGATTGACGAGAAGGAAGGGGAACAGCAACAATGATGGATGGTGGTGGAATGCGACTATGAGGATGGTCAGAATAGGCGATGTCGGGCGGTGGCAGTAGGTAACCCCGAATGTCTTGGTGGCCGGAAAACCGGCTCCACCTCCGGTGGGGAGTTCTTGGTCGTGAATGAAGAAGGAGGAGGGGGTGGAGTTTGTAGAGAGAGAGAGAGAGAGAGAGAAAGAGAGAGAGCGAGAGACAGAGAGAGAGAAAGGTGGGCCCTCTCATTTTTTTAATAATTAAAATGAACAAATAACTATTAAATTAAAAAAAATGAATTTAAAAATGGAAAATAAATACCCCAAGGGTATTACAGTCATTTTACTATTCAGAGGGACCAAAAACGCAACGAAACTAGCTCAAAAGGACCACCGATCCAAAAAAGTCGTTGTTTGGACTAAAACCCCCAAAAAAATACATACCACAGGGACCATTTTTGCAATTTTGTCATTTTTAAAAACCAAAACCACAACGGACTCCTAGACCAGCGATTAAAACAAATCCATGGTCCAAAAAGGATTTGACGAACTGTTTTTTTTTTTTGTGGAAATGTGGATGTATGTACAATCATACAATCAACAATTATATAGATTGGGGATGTGCATAATCAGCAGTTATATGGACTGATGAGGAGCACAATTAGCAGTTATATGGACTACGTACGTGCATAATCAGCAGTTATCACTGCTAATTTTGTATGTCCGCAGTCCATATAACTGCTGATTGTGCTCATCATCAGTTTATATAACTGTTGATTGTGCATGCATGCACATTTCCAAAATGAATACAAACAATTATCAAATTGTTTTTTTAACCTAGATATGGCTTAGACGCACCATTTGGAGAAGTGGTGTTTTCGATTTTGAAAAATGTTCAACGATTTTATACTAAAAGCTGCGATTTTTCTATAAAAAAATTATAAAAAAAAGTTTTGTGATCTCTAAGTATTTTTTTATGCATTTTTATGATTTTTAGGGTTTTTTTGTTTT